ATGTTAACCGAGAACTTTTTCAAAACCAGCCAACCTTAAGTAATATTATGTTACTTTTTTCAAAAAAGTGATTTGATTACATTGACATTGGAAATAAAATTATTCACACCTGATATACCATACTGTTTATCAATGCAGCTGTATCTCATACAATCTTTTTTTTTTTTTTTAATTTTAATAATTCTACAAAATTCTTTACATTAGAACCTTACAATAACATATTCTTTCATCATCACCTATCCAAAATTTAACATTAAAAATTTTCAAACTCTATAATATACAATCCAGGACCAACAATATCATAGATCAATGGGAAAAAAGATATCATTGAAAAATATTTATGTATTTAAGCATTAAACTAGCTTTATCATTACTCATAATGGATAACCAAATTGCTTTTGTAAAAATTTTAAAGACTGGGATTTTGCCCATGGTATTCCCGTATATGTACACCACTATCTGCACTAGGGTTCTTTGACAATGATAAGACCTATATGATCCTACGTAGTACACAGCGACATTAGGGAGGCTCTCCAATATCATGATTAAAATTGCATCACCCTGTGTAATGGTCTGTCTGTGTATTAAATCTCTCTGGGCTTAATGTTTACCTCTTGTCTGGCCTCCACTCAATGGCAGCATAACATTATGGAGGGTTACAGCAACTTTTCTTGAAAGTCGTTTAAGGTCAATTTATGATCCATCAAAATATGACTGCAATGCATTTTCATTTGATATTTAGCTAAATTATGTATATTTTATGCACATATTATTCTTACTCCATGAACATCATTTTGATCAAGATATTCAGTTTATTTCATTCTTTTTCTTTCTTTTTTTAAAATAAATACTTCTACAATTCTGGCATCGGAATACAATTGCAAGAGTAATTGTTGCAAGAGTAAAAAAAAATCTCTTTTTCATAGACAAACTTTTTAAAATATATACTTCTTTTATGTACATAAATGTATTTTACTAATCCCCTCTCTTAACAATCTTATCAGACTTATACCCCACCAGAAAAGAAATAAAGTCATGCATTCACACCCTCCACCTTTCCCCCATCTCGATATTTGGCATGTCACAACTGGTTATGCTTAAGTGTAAGTGTTGACAATAAACCATTATACAAACAGGGATCTAAGCTTAATCCCTGTTGCATGCCAATATGTGTTAAAAACACAAACAGACACAGGTATTTTCACTTGTGCTTCATTAGTTGTACATTAATCCATAATCATGTCTTTGCTAATGTATGATGTATACAAAATATAACTAAACTTCTAAGACTTAATCAACAGTTCTTAATCATTTAAATGAAATTTATTAAAAAAATAAATAAACAGATTAAATATAATTAATTTAATGTTTTCAGCTTTTATAATATGTATGCATGATCATACTCTGACCTGATTTTAGCCAGTATAATTATTTAACCCTATATTCCACCTCGATTTAGAAATCTTATAAAACTATAATCTTCACAATACATTATCAACATAATGTTTAATAATTTATATGTTTTTATCTTATCTAATTTAATTTCAAGACACAATTAAAAAAAAGGGGGGTGCATGGGTTTTTAGAAAGTAACAACTCAATGGATATAGACCATAGCAACCAACCTTTGCAGAAAAAAAAATCATACAAATGTGTGCATCACTGATTGCTAAGCAGAATATGGTCACAGCTTTCTGCTTTGTCTGGCGTGTTTTTAGCCACAGCAGTATTTTTAACATACATTGTATATATTTACATTTTTAAAAAAAATGGGGGGTGTTAAATTCTCTACATATAAAAATTAGTGAAATTATTAAAATTACAATAACTTTTAAATATCTTCATAACATTATTACATAAATTTCATGTATTTCTAAAACATACATATCATTGATAAATCTATATATATACATAATTACACACACCTAGATAATTTAGACTGCGTGATGTTTGGTCGCATAATAAATCTGTTGACGATGATGCTCTTTTGACTTGGAGTATTATATCATATTATTGGGTTAGTTGTCTATTCACATTTAAAACATTTAAAAATACTTCGTAAATATTCTGAACTAAATCTTGATAAACGAGTTCTTGGAGTAAACATTTCATAAAGATTTTTTTTTTTTTTTTTTAAATATCTTTAATTCAAAAATGAAACACGTTAAAACCGAGAAAAGGGGTTGTCTTGTACATTTTTCAATATACCATTGTGCATGACAAGATTTTCACTTCCTCACCCTGACCATCACATACCCGGATGTGTTGCTTACAGGAAGCACGAAATGGCCAGGGGCACCTGCTATGATGTAATTATTGTACGTCGATCAATTTCTGTCAATTAGAGAATGTACGTATGGGCCTACACGTATACAGAATATACGAAAAATACCCGATTCCGTGTTCATTTATGATTAAATTAAAATAAAAAATTAATACACGCGCGGTTTAATTAATATTTTAACCATTTTACAGATTCGATACAACTTTAATGAACATGACTAATAACGCTATCAAAGATTTTTTAAAATTATTTTCTTCTTTTTGCTTTCCACTGATGCATTATAATTATCAATGATTAACGTATTTTTATTGGTTTGTTGTAAACGACAAACAAAGGCCTTAATCCCTTCGTTTGTGGCAATCTTATTGTTCACTGACCTTCTATTATTCGCTGTTTCGTAATACCGATGGTCAGTAAGCTAAGCCTATGTCACGTGATTCCGATTCAAGCTGCAAGTAAAACTACCCATGGGGTTCAGAGGTCACCAAAGAAAAAAACGCTCTCCAATTGGTCAGTTGTCCGGAGCCGTGAGAAATAACTGGTCAAGTACATAGTATTGATAAGAAAAAGTTAGGGAGGCCGCGAAACTGGGCGAGAGATTACGGTTTGTTGCGAGAACAGAAATTTTATTCAAGGATGTGATTGATACTTACGTGGGTCAGATTCCCCAAACCAAAAAAATTTGCTAGACCTGTATGTGTGTATATACTTTCGCATTGCAAGGAATTACGTGTGATTGAAGCTGTAAGTATAGTTAATGGTCGGGTGTTTTTGTTTGGCACCGACTCTTGTTTACAGGGTATAATGGTGTCAGTTTACAATCGATGTTCGTGCTTGAATTATGTGTCGATACTCTAGACATACAAATGAAAGCATCTTTAAAAAAAAAAAAGTATTCCATGTTTAAATGAAAATAGGTATACAAAAATTCTCCTCTTCCAAAAAAAAAAAGAAAAGGGAACCTATTTTTTTTGTGTTTTTTGTTTTATTTTATCAATGTTTTCATTTCTTTTTATTACCAGTTTTTTGCAAATTTTACCCTCATATACTTTATGTCAAAAATAAAACCATTAGTATGTTAGTAGGAAAATGGTCGTACATATTAAAACACTGAGGGTATTTCAGCACAGTACTTAATTATAGAATGACTGAGGTGTTAAATATGATGTCATAATGAGTTAATTAGATTCAGTTGGCATGGTAACGGGACACATAGCGTCTGGGGCTTTTTTTTCACTCCAGTTCCAAAATGAAAGTCAACCTGAAATGTGTGTACATAATTTTTATTCAGAATTCAAAATGTCAGAGATGATATTCACTGTCAAAATGTTCATCAAAGAAAAAAATAATTAAGAAAAAAAAAAATCAAAATATTCAAACTGGAAATTATGTTTAAGGTAAACTTTATGTGTATATATATATATAGAGAGAGAGAGAGAGAGAGAGAGAAAGTTCAATAAAATTATTCTTTGTTATTTTTAGATCTGTATAAATTTAACTTGTTCCAAAGAAAGTTATGAGTAAAATGTTTTTTTAATCATAGTATTTTACTAAAAGAAGTAAGGTAATTTTAATAATTATAAATACTTCCATTTCCAAATTTACACAGGCTGTTACGAATTGTTGGACTTCATCGATAATATTTTACTACATACTTAAAGTCCCTTCTTTCTCCTAATCCAGAGAGTGACTTTTTAATTCAATGATATTTATATTCTTAAATCTACTAATAAATTTATAACAAACAAATTATTCCCATTCAAATTTTATGTACCAATGAACAAATGAAATAAAAACTTTATTTTTCAAGAAAAACATATATTAACACTAGAAAGAATACAGGGTAGGGACAAGCCCCTACCCCTATAATCGGATCCGTGGGACAACATTTGAAAGAGAAACTTCTACCTACTTTTTTGTTTAAAGACTGTATGATTATAATTATCAATCTATAAAATTTCCATGAAATTTGTGTATAAATCCTTTAATTTTGGTATCCCTATTTATTCAAGAGACGAGAGAAATGACTGTTCATCTCTCAAGGGTACATTACTAACTAGGGTATTTATTACTAACTTTCTTGTCTCCATATCAACTTTCACTAAACAGGATCTTGACCAAAGGCTACCCAACAAAGAAGTTGTCCATCTTTAGAAACCATTGTTTAAAAAAAAACTGTTAATTCCCTGTGGCTACTCAGGAATCTTAAAACTGTTTGCATGAGCATTCAGGCATAACACTCAATTCAATGTCAGGGTAGCCCAGGGGGGTCAAATTGAATAGATGACTTTCACTTTTTCTCTCAATAATTGGACAATGTGATAAATTTCACTGGTGTCAAATTCCTGACTTAAACCATTGAAAAGTCAAGACTTTGACCTCTCTTACAATGTTGTATCCATTACAAATTATCCATCTCATTTTTGGTTATTGAATTATAAGAACATCTGACCATACACTTTCTAAATGTCATTAACTTGAAAAGTTTGATAAAAAAGATTGATTTAAAATGAAAAACTCAAAATTGGTAAAATTCGAATAAAAGTACACATTTACATGTAAACTAGTAAATTTTTTTTCTTTTTACCAAAAACCATGAGAAAGAATTTGAATAGCTTTATAACATTCCTTTTATACATATTTAATCAACCGACAATAACATGCCTACAATATGTAACCTAATAATAACGATATTGATTTTATTTGAAGAAAAAAAGAAAATGACCAGAGGAAAAAGGAAGTGACATCAACATTAAGACACTGCACAGAGAAAATCATTTCATAAAGATGAATGAAACCCCCATTCAGCACTACAATTGAGAAAAAAACACGTGTTCAAAACCATAAACCTTCATATTTTTTGCATTGTTGGACAAGCTGAAACCTTTCAAACTGGCGAGTCCGGGGGATGTATACAGCATGATGCAGGATCCTTATTCCATGATGCACAGAGATGACCGCTTCTACAAGTATGGCGGTCACTCTCGCCAAATGACCACATCAACGACGGTCCAGGGGCATTCCTCCTCCTATTACAGTATGAGCATGCCCTATCAGGAGCCATCTCACACACTCACACAGAGTGACCTTGCCGTGATGTCATCTCAGGGTCATTCCTCCACCCCATCAGATTTCTCTGCACCAAGGGTCCCGGTCCCAACAGGAGGAAATGGTCATTCTCCCCCCTCACTCATGCCTGGACCCTCCACTGCAGGGCCTTCTACCTCCCATCAATCTTCTAGTGCCATGCTTCCAATAATGGATCTGAATTCTCCCATGCCCACCGGTGAACCTATTCCAAATGTTGGCAGTCATGAGACACCGTCACAAGATCTTGAGTCCTCACATCTTTCATCTCCCTCTAGTACATCCAGTGGTCCCTCAACGCCACTTGATCTGGCCAACCAGGGACAGGGTGACAACAAGATCCCTCCCAAAAAACGACCACACCTGACCCCCGAGAACCAGAAAGATGAAATGTACTGGGAGAAACGACAAAAAAATAATGAATCTGCCAAACGTTCACGAGAAGCCAGACGAATGAAAGAGGAACAGATAGCACTTCGTGTTGTGTTTCTAGAACAGGAAAATCTTCAGCTTCGTACAGAGGTGTCTCTTCTAAAGAGCGAGATAGAAAAACTAAGGTGTATGTTGTACAACCCTTGAAAAAACAACTTAGCACTCACACATTTTACAATAATTTTGAATATCCGGTGTTCAACTTCTCTTTTTGACAAGGGAAAAAATCTGTTTCTAGCAATTGTGCAGTTAATTGTGTTCAAAGATATATCGTTACTTGTAAACTGTCTCGGTTTGACTTCTGGGATACTTACTCAGGGACTTTTGGGAAGACTCAGGAAGTTTTATACAGAAGTTGTTGGAATGAAACGGGTCCATTAAGTGAAATGCGCAAAAACACAGAAGATTGTTTTTATGTTCTTGTGCATTTTTTTTTATAATGCCAAGAAAAGAACTTTTTGTACAATTTGCCAACATTTTATGTATTTTGTGTGTAATATGTTCCACTTAATGAGGAAATGGGGTGTTTTATATGATCATAGGATCTTTTTTAAAAAACCTTTGTCACTCTGTCAGTTGCTATAGCGAAAATATTTTATTAATATCATTTTTGTTGCCATTTTAAAAACCTAAACCTTGTTTATAAAAATACATCACATTCCCAACATTTTGTGTTGTGTCTACTTTCAATTTAATTTCCAAATAAGTTTCAATTTCTCAGAATTCCAGTGTTGCGTTTATGTCTCTGTTACATATATTTTTTGGTGGTGTTCAGAATCTTCTTTGGGATGCTTCTTCAAAATATGACCAATTTCTTGTATATTGTTCTTTAAATGCAGAACTATTTCAAAACATTCAGTGAATGGTCTTAGTCTATGAAATTTTTAAAAAGGGAAACTAGTATGTATATAATATATATTTTCTAAGTCATCATAATTATTGGGAATTTTGAAAAAACAAAATATGAAGCTTACTTTGTAATTGGGCCCTTTGGCAAAATTTTAGTTTTGATTGCTCTTAATACAATATTTTCATCACAATTTAGCATTTCTGTTATCGGATAAATCATACATAAGTATTATAAACTTTTATACATTGAGATACCGGTGGTCATTGAGTGTATATGTGCGTGTTTGTATATTGTCGATTATGTTACTCAAAATTTGTTGAAAATACATGTTAAAGTACATGGCAAATGACACAAATTGAGATTGTGTTATAATGATTTCAATTTTTGCAAGGGTTATTTATTTTCATGGAAGTCATGTTTGCTGCAAGTTGCCTAAAGCTTACCATCTCTCAATTTTCATGTATTGTTTAAATTTTGGTGAAATTATAAACAATTAAAATATTCGTAGTTTAAGCCATGCTCAGTGTGATATTTAACAAGTTTCAGAATTTTATGGGGCATTTTTTTTCCCACACCATACACAAAATTATATATTGTAAAATCTAAGACATTGAAATTTCAAGTTTTGAGAATTTATAGTGTAAATAACAAATTAATTAATAATGAGGGAAATAAATAACTATAAGGAAATCCAGTATTTGTAAGGATATTTCCAAGTCCAGTAACTTTGTGTGTTTGTCTTTATAATGTCCTGAGTTTGTATGGTTGATTTGCTGTTACTCAGAATATACCTCAATCTGTACAAAAGACAAGTTAAAATTGTCCACCATTTTGTTAAATGCCATATAAATGATGTACAATTGTTCTTAAGTTTCAGTAGTAAAAGTTATTTAAAATGAAGCTTTTGATTTCTTTAATTCATAACTTTAAAGACTCAGGGTGTGTTTTAATGTTGGGGCACTGAAATAGACATCGGTCTGTTTTGGTGCAATTTTAAGAGTGAACATTTAACAAAAAGTGCTTCAAGTACTCTGTGAAGTTTAAATCAGATGTGTTCTTTATTCCACTTTGTTGAATATACTGCATATATTGAAATGTGATGGAGTTCTCAACACTGTAATCATTTACTCAGCTCAAACCCCAGGGTGTCTTGAAGCTTTGTCAGGATCCACTAATTTGCTTTTCACTGTTTCTGCATGAAATGAGTACTACCTCAACTAACAAGGCAAAGAGAAAAACTACTATTTTGAGAAAGATTAGGCTTATTGCCCCATTTTTATTAGTGAGGCACACAATCAATTTCATTGAGGAACTATGAGATCCAAACCAGGGTTCGGTTTTACAAAAAAAAAAAAAAAATGTTGAAGCCTAAAAAAAATTTGATTCTGTAAAGAGTAACATCTTAGAAGTGAGTTCTCTTGTAAAACAGGGTCCACATTCAGGATTTTCAAGTTTGCTGATTTTTGTAAATCACAGTATACATTAAACATAAAAGTTGAAGCAAACCTCAAAATGAGGAAAATTCTCAGGTTCTTGTAATGTGCATATTGTCTTTAATGTTGTTATGCTATGCAATAACTTGAGAGATGGGTACTATTCAAAACTTCATAAATATGAACAAAATCAAGATCACCATTAGATCCAACGACAGTTGGATTCTTGTTTCTACATTTCCTATATTTATGAGGATGACAAATGGCATAAGGAACAGAGTAAAATACTTTAAATTTTTATAAATTATGCCTAATAACAATGGTGAATGTGGATACAAAAGTTTAAAATACAGAACGTGTACATATTCTATTCGTATATTCTCTCTCTACCCTGGTGCTATCTTTCTGAAGGCTATTATATCAATGGTATCAGATGACAAATTCAATAAGTCACAAGGGTATATTTATTAGCTATTTAGGTGTGAAACAAGAATATAAAGTATCAGTACAAAATAACAATTTCTTTACTGTACTAGCTGAATGATTACAGGTAAGTTAAAAAATTATACTGGTCCTTTGACTAAACTCTGATGTAACATCGTTATAAAGTATTGTAAACTTGTCCAGGATACAGGAAGTCCTGGTGTGCGTTGACGGACAAATCAGATGTCCAGGAAATGGAATCTGCAGTAGCAGCTAAATATAGATTTAATAAGAAACCACAGGGAATCTAAAATAGGATCTCAAAGTTTTCTGTGATGTTATATACACATTACTTAATAAGGAGCTCTCCTTGACTCTTGCATTTCCCAAGGATGTGCTACCACATTTAAGGAAATGGTCCTTGAAATTGTGGATGATTAATGAATTAGAAAAAGAAGACCACAGAGTCCAATCAAAACTTGATTGAATTATCCAATCTAAAACTCTACATTATCCAATCGAAATTATGATAGATCAAGTGACGTTCTAATATAGATTGTTTCAGAAATGAAATCCTATTTTGGACTGAGATAAATTTTATCAAAGAGATCTGGATATAATCATAATGGAACAATAATGGATAAAAAGAACTGGGCATTTTCTGCAAAGAACATCACATGAAACTTGGCCCAAAGAAAATGGTGCCCACTGATTTTGATACTAAATACCACGGCATATAATTAATCCTATTGGAACTCAGAAAGATGACTACCAGTACATGTACACATAAATTAGCAAAGATATGTCTTCAATAAATTTCATAACTACATGCATCAAGTTCAACTACACCACGTACTACCGGTATCATAACTTGTATGTAAACTTTTCCAGGATATAACATGTTCATGTCACCTTAAAGTCAGACTGACACTTTGTCGTTAACATTACGTACCATGTACCACTCTGTTACTTAATCATGATTTCAAATTTCTCTTTCCCATTTTCTTCAATGACAAAAGATGCGTTCTCATATTGTAAGTAAAAAATACCTGACTTGGGACATGTTGTTAAAGTGCAATACACCTTTACAGACAGAGATCGATTTAAAGTGTGACATTTAGAACCATTTAATGATGTGTCTTTATGATCTGTCAACTTGGACATTATCTAGCAACGGCACTAAAATTTAAAAAAAAAAATTGTGATAGCCTAGAGCAAACCATTAAACAAAATTGAGACAAAAGTTTTAAAATATAAGCAATGTTCCCAATTCTATGGACCTAAATGGCATATTGTTTATTTCTTTTAATACATACACACATTGAAGAATCTTAACACTGACATTATTTAGCATATATCTACAAGAAACTGTCAAACAGATAAAAATATTGAACCTATAGGTACAGTCTTGCCTGACCTTGTGGACAATGTTTAACTTGATGCACAGCCAAAAAAAAAAGTTTTCTGGTAATTCCTTGGTCCTCAGAATCTGGTACATTACACAATTACTCTCTTTCAAGGAATGCTTATACAAAGTATTTTTTCATTTCGTATTTCATTCCAATGATTTGTATGTACTTGTGCAACGGCTATATAAAAGTGAAGCCAGCATAGATGACAAGTGGACTAGGAGCAGTCTAAATAAAAAATTAATGTCCAGTGTATAGATAATTGGAATCTAGCGATAATTGATTCTAGACAAGTACATCTGCCATTGGTCTGGTGCTTTAAATAACCTTGATTGAAGGTGTCTTTTGTGTACTGGCTCTTCTGGACATATCAGAAAGACAGCGGTCATTCTGTCCACATAACAATCTACTGATAAAACTTGAAAGAACACTGACCCCCTACTTATCTAATGATGATACAACAGGAAGGGGCCACAGAGGGGAAATGTGGTCACTATTTGAAAAGGATGAAAAGAATACTAGATTTTGGCTAGAGGATCAGCAATTCACTGGGAAAAGGTTGGAGAGGAATCCATGAAAAAAATAAGACTCCTCAGTAATGGGAGCTCATGCATGTTTTACATGAAATATATAATTCTTATTATATGCAAGAATATCTAAAGAGTATGGTACAGCCACTAAATGTATTCCCTGATACATTATAATTATAATGATATTATTAACTACATGTAACACAACATATCATGTGGGAAACATGAAAATCAAAATATCCATTTATATATTTGGAAAGCCGTCACTTAATTGAGCAAGCTGGCATTTACATCTCAACTTAATGTTATCATTCCATTAATTAATTCGAAATTTGACATAAACTGTAAAAGGAATTTTTTTTTTTTAATATTTTATATCAAATACTCCTTTTATTATTCATAGGTTATTCAGCATGATTTATTATGCTAATTTAATCTATCATTTCTTTCTTAACACATATTAAATAATCTCCAAGCTGTCCAAATAAGCTCAAAAGAAATCCTCCATTCCTAGGATCTGTTTAGCTGTAAATGTTTTTCAGGTATCTTCAGTAGTTTGCTTCTGTGATCCTGGACACATAGCTGCAGACTGACATGTGATTTACATAACAAAGTCCAATAGTTTGTAAAAGTGAAATTCTATTATATAAATATTGAATGGATGTAGTTGAGGGTATAATATTGAAAATTTTCATCCCAAGAAAACCACTGTCACCTGAGGGGTAGCCGAGGTTGACAATGCATGGTTTTTGAGGGATGAAAATTTTCAATGTTACCCTCAACAACATGCAGTTAAATACAAAGAAAAGTGAAGCACGAGCACATAGATTCTGCACAGTCACTATTTTTTTTTAACATCACCCGTCGTCAAGCAATAGTGACTCTTTCCAAGTTCTTTCGCACTGAAGGACGTGGTTTCAATATTCAGAGTGTAACAGTGTTTTTCAACAAATGTTTCTCAACGAATCAAATTCAAGTAATTTTTATGAAAATATAAATTAATGACATATGTACTGTAAATCACGTTTCATTTGCAAGAACTTTATTTTCACGTAAATATGCCACACTGTTTGCTTGCCAAAATTTCACTATTATATGTGTATAATAGTATTCTTAAAGATTATATAGAACAATAATAGAAATTGCGAAAAAAATTGTCTCGCATATAAAAACAATACTATATTAGCTCACAAAAATAAGGTGTCATGAAATTTGATGATTTCCAGTATACAGAGGTTTTGATATTTAGTAAACACACACAACATTAAGGTAAATATGACTACCTTTTTAATTGATAGATTTTTACTCTGAATAAATAATATTTATATGTTGATATTGTGTTAGATCTGTTGTTATCTATAATAAAAGATGACAGCCGCCGGTGCACTTGGCGTCAGATTGCAAAGTTCCTGGCCTCTTGGATGGCAGTCGTTTCCTGTGGGAGCTATACAGTAACAACTTACTATCGCGTGTTGACTGGACTACACTGTAGATCACTTAATTTCCGCGAACCTTATTTTACGAGATATACATCAATTCTTTATTAGAGAGACAAAATTTTCACGAATTGTGGTTACTGCTCTATATTATAATCTTTAGGAATACTAATATACATGAGAATAATATCTTCGCGAGCACAGTGTCTCACGTAATTACACGAAAATAAAGTTCCCATGAATAAAAAGTAATTTACAGTAGTTAAATATTTAAACTATAAATTTATGTTTATTTGTTTACTTTATGTCCATTCAAGATTTTCTCCCTCATACTGGGATTCCACCAATTGCCTGTGGAAGGCTACAAATTTATAAACTTGTACTAGGCACTTATGGCCATGAACAGTGAGGGATCTTTTTCATGCCAGCATTCACTGTGACATATAGTACCTCAGTTTTGAACTGTGACATAAGGATCAACTCCTTATACTCTATGACTCTAGAACCCTTACCACTGTGACTCTAGAACCCTTACCACTGGGTCAAACCATGACATAAGGATTAACTCCTTATACTCTGTGACTCAGAACCCTTACCACTGGGTCAAGTGGGTCACCAAAAAATTAAAAAAAACCCTATCAGTTAAGACTTTCCACTGCTGTACAATCAGTACAAACCTGTATAATCTTCTGGAGAACATGTGACTGAATCACAACAGAATGCTTGGCAGTGACCCGATACAAATCCACAACCATATCTACTGCCTTCTCAGCAAATGGCACAAAGTTCATGGTCACCCAATCCACCTAAGGTAAAGGTATTTAAAATTAAAAGAATTCAATCACAAGAAATGGCACAGAGTAAATTAGTATATTTTTCCTCTAGAATAACTTATCAAAACTGATTTTATATTTCCATAATTTAAAATCATATTGACCGTCAGAACCAATAATACAAGTTACTGCTAAAATTTAATCTCACAAATTGATAAAGAAACATTTTTATAGACTACAAACCTGTGGCCCTTTGACAGCTCCAAATGCCTTGGCATCCAACTGCCCGAACTTGGGAACTCTGACTCCATACTCAATGAATGTCAGCAACTGGTCAAAGATGTCAGGATACATGGACTGCATGGACTCTGGACCTGTCTGGACAGCCTGAAATAAAGATAATTTGTAATATACATGTAATTACAAGATGTCAGGGTACATGGACATTTTGGAATCGGGCCAGTCTGGACAATCTAATAAAAGTTACAGCTTTTTAATTTAGATTTTACATTTAACACTATTGCAGATACAAGAGGGTTGATTGTTTTTTCATAAAACAATCTCAAATAACACTCACTATAAAATCTGGCTCTTAATTGTTCTAACTTGCATGGAAAATCAATATTGAAAACTAAAAATATGTCCATAGGACATGAACGCCCCACTGAGTGTATATTAGTAATGCAATATGAAAAATTCTGATAGTGTATGAAGTTTGATGAGAATATCTTGAATAGTTTTCTTTAAAAATTGAAATCTAAAAAATTGGACATAGATGATAAATTCTCACCAAATTATGTAAAACTGCATAAGATGACATAAAAATATCTTAGACAGTTTCTTGAAAACTAAGCAAAATGCAAATTTAAGAAAAGTGAGGTCAAAATCACAGGAAAGGTCAAGGTCAACAGTTTTTGATGCACTTGAATAGCTCTCACTAATACGTTTCAGCATATGAAGTTTGATAAAAATATCTTGAATGATATTTAAAGCAGAGGTAAACACTAATTTAAGAAAAGTGAGGTCAAAGTTAAAAGAAACCTCAAGGTCAACAAATGCTGATGCAGTTGAAAAGCTTACATTAGTATGTATTAGCATGTGAAGTTTGATAAAATTAAAATGAATGGTTTCTTTAAAATTGAGCTAAATTCTAATTTATGAAAAGTGACGCCAAGGTCAAAGGAAATGTCAAGTTCAAACATAGGTAATCAAAGACTACGAAGCTCACCTCGACGAATGTTATCTTTAAGTAAGGCAAATTTCACAGCATATTCTTTTTTTTAGTTAGTGTACATCCCAAGATCAATATCCAAAAAAGTTTGGTTTGAGTACGACTTATAGTTACTTAGAAATAGACCTGTTCAAAAAACATTTATCCTGTTTACTAATCAAGAAAATTTTGGTCAGTTCCAACATCCGAAGTAAGTCTGGAAGTTTTCATCCTTAGATGCACCATCTATGCAAGTTTAATCATAACAGGCCATAATGTTATATAGCTACTCCAAAAAAATTATTCTGGTCACTCATCTGGAAAATGTAGGTCTGATTCAGAATCCAAAGCAAGTCTTGAAGTGACCATCCCTAGCTACATCATCCATGCTAATTTGGTTAAAATATGGCTAAAATTCACTCATGTGGAAAATCTAGGTCGGATCCAGCATCCCAAGCAGTTTGGTTAGCGTACATCCCAAGATGCATCATCCATGCACGTTTGGTCCAGATAGGGCTTATACTTACTTGGCAATGGTCCATCTTGAATGGTTTCTTAAGTGAGCTAAACACTAATTTAAGAAAGGTGAGGTCAAGGTCAAAGGAAATGTCAAAGTCAAAAAATTGAGCTAACTTTAGTATGTTCCAGCATATGAAGTTTGATAACACTATCTTGAATGGTTTCTTTAAAACTGAGCTTAACACAAATTTAAGAAAAGTGCGGTCAAGCTCAAAGGAAAGGTTAAGGTCAAAAATGTTGATGCAGTTGAATAGCTCCATCAATATGTATCAGCATATGAAGTTGATAAAATATCTTATATAGTTTCTTTGAAACTGAGCTAAAGGCAAAGCAAGATGGAAGAACAGACAGAAGGACAGAAGACAGACAGGACAAACTCTATATGCCCCAGCCCCAGGGCATAAAAATTAACCCATGATATGACCGTATTGTCCTTACCCCCTCCTAAACTCTAAAGTTAGTCATGATTTTAAACTGCCTTTGCTGAATGAGAGATTTCCTTTTCTAATAGCTGATATCTTTAACATATAAATGTACTAAATTATCAGGAAACTTACCGGTGTGTCAGTGGAATAAAGAAATGCGATTCTATATATGTATCAAATTTTTAATTGACATTTTCAGACAACAGTTTTTTTTTCATTACCAGTGACCTATACATAAACTCTCAATGTATCCATTTTCAGATAAGTTTGTGATTATCAACATTTTTAATATCTGCCAGAAGTCAATATCATGCAGTCAAAGATTTCACTGCTTTTGAAGAAAAGATCCTTTCAAACTTGCAGTGACTGAAATATCTTTTCAGATTTCTGCTTATTACCTTAATAAGAGACTCCATGGCAGCTAGGGTAGCTTCCTGTAATGGTGTAGTGGTGACATCTGGGAAGGAGGGAATAATGAATGGGGAGGCATCTCCATGGACAGGTACACAGAGGGCTGTCTTCAGAACCCGGGACAACTTCTGCAGATCTGCCGCCACAAACCGTGACTTGATATGTTCAAACAAAGGTGGGAACGTTTGCACCAGGGCAGTAAGAAATGCCTGTGATGGGACATACACCCCACGGTCTGTTGGTTTACCCCCAGAAGGAGGGGGCTTGGTGGCACTAGTACCAATGTTCAACCAAACCTTCCAAGCTGCTGTCCACAAGGCTAGGTCAAGGTCACTATCCTCACTTGTTGTCCTTGGTAACACCTTACTGGTATCTTCTGACCTTGATATGATTACTTCAGAAGGAGGCTTCATCAAGGGCAATAGGTCATCTGACTTGTCTTTAGGGTCAGTGCTCATCTGTAGAATTTCCTGGAATGATTTGAGGGCTGCGAGTGACACTTCTGCATTGTTACACATAGCATTCGTCTCAATGTACTCCAGAAGAAGAGACCAAGCCCGTGGAAAATCACCTGAGAAAACAGAAAAATATTATAAATTACTATATGAAATGACTAATTTTTGTGGGGTTTAATTTTCGTTGTTTTGTTGGGAAGAAGAGACCCATGAATTCATGTCCCCCACGAGATTGAAATTTTGAATTACGGTTGAACTATGGTATCTCGAACATGGATATCTCGAATACTATAAATATGTCGAAGTGATTTTGAAGTCCCAACTGCTTATTCCTTAAGTATTTTACCCTGGATATCTCAAATCCTCGGTTATCTCGAAGTATTTTCTTTGTTCCTTCGAGTTTGAGATAACGAGGTTTGACTGTATATATCAAGTCAGCACTTCTTCAACACATAAGAACCAATATATTTTCCTCAAATGACTAAAATCTGACCATAAGAAAATATGTGATTTTCACAGAATAACCAGAACAATTCAACGTTTTTGAACATCAAGCAGTACAAATGTTTTCTATTAAGAAAATTTGTGAGCTCATTAATGATGTTTTGAAAATTATAGCATGGATAATAAACATGTTCTGTTAAATGTGCTTTTGGTGATCAAGGAACAGTAACTCTTGTGATGTTCAATGAAATATTGTGTTCAAAGGGCAATAACTCTTTCAAATTATCTCTTGAGATACTTTACCAATTGTTTGTAGGATTTTTCGTTTGGAATTGAATGTCCTAGCAACTCCAGCTAATGATAGGACACAAGTCTCCGCCCACTGTTTCTCCGCAGTGTCTCTTGAGTGGTGGATCAGAATGTTTCCAGTGGCGGCTTCATCTTTTACATTAGAGGCAGTGCTGGACAACTTCTGTACATTCTCCAGTAGTGGAAATAACACCTATTAATCAAATCAGAATAAAGGAAACATACATACCAGTGTAGAAGGGATAATTAATGTTACACTGAGTGTTTATCAGCTATTTTTTTTGATAGTGATAAAACTACCAGTACACAAAGCTACATCAAATACAGGGTATAAGAATTTGATATTTATTTGAAATTGGGTAAAAGGAAATTGCACAGTTTGTTCAAATAAAGGGTCATGTCTTTTTATGAGGGGAGATAATGAAGAGATAATGATGGTAAAGACAAAAGTATGTAAAAATCTTTAAATATATCTTCTATTTATGAACTATGGGTCCAAATTAGTCAAGTGAATGGGAAAGCCTCCCCATGTAGATTCAAACTTGTTCACAATAAATTGTTAAAATCATGGGGTCTTTATTTAAGCCATAATAAAACTAGAAATATGTCCATAGGACATGAATGCCCCGCCTAGGATATATAAGTAATGCAACATGAAAATTTGTATAAGTGTATGAAATTTGATGAGAGTATCTTGAATAGTTTTTTTAAAATTGAAATCTATAAAATTGGATACAGATGATAAATTCTCACGAATTTATGTATAAAGTGCATAAGCTGACATAAATGATTTCTTTAACACTAAGCAAAATGCAAATTTATGAAAAGTGAGGTCAAGGTCACAGGAAAGTTCAAGGTCTAACATTTTTGATGCAGTTGAATAGTTCTCACAAATACATATCAGCATATTAAGTTTGATAAAAATATTTTGAATGTTTTTTTTTTAAACAGAGCTTAACATTAACTTTTGAAGTTAAGATCAAAGGAAAGGTCAAGGTCAAAAAATGTTGATGCAGTTGAAAAGCTTACATCAGTATGTATTAACATATGAAGTTCGATAAAAATATTATGAATGGTTTCTTTAAAACTGAGTTAAACTAGAAATATGTCCATAGGACATGAATGCCCCGCCAAGGGTATATTAGTAATGCAACATTTTAACACAAATTGAGAAAAGTGAGGTCAAGTCAAAGGAAAGGTCAAGGTCAAAAAATATTGCTGCAGTTGAATAGCTTACATCAGTATGTATCAGCATATGACGTTTGATTCAGAAACTAATTTAAGAAAAGTGAGGTCAAGATCAAAGGAAAGGTCAAGATCATAACAAGAGGCCCATGGGCCACATCGCTCACCTGAGCACAGTGGATAGGCAAAAGCACAAATCAGTTCAGTATTGAAAAGATTCCGGGGGGGGGGGGGGGGCTTGAATTTTAAACTACCTGATGATGCTTCCATGTCAAAATATTTTAAAAAAATTTTCTGATATATTCCTTTGTAAAAATTTGATCCCCCCTTGTGGCTCCTCCCTATCCCAGGGGTCATCATTTGAACAAACTGGAATCTACACTACCTGAGGATGCTTCCATATCAATATGACTAAACATAGCTTTTCTGTTCTTGAGAAGAAATATTTTTTCTATATGTTCTTATGTTACATTCGATCCTCCATTGTGGCCCCGTCCTACTCTCGGGGGTCATCATTTGAACAAACTTGAATCTACACTACCTGAAGATGCTTCCATATCAATATGACTAAACATAGCTTTTCTGTTCTTGAGAAGAAATATTTTTTCTATGTGTTCTTATGTAAAATTTTCTATCCCCCTATTGGGCCCCACCCAACCCTCGGGGGTCATCATTTGAACAAAATTGAATTTACACTACCTGATGATGCTTCCATATCAAAATGACTAATCATGGCTTTGCAGTTCTTCATCAGAAGAAATCTTCCTATATATTTCTATTTCTATTTCAGACTTTGATCCTCCATTGTGGCCCCACCCAACCCCAGGGGGGCAAACATTTGAACAAACTTGAATCTACACTACCTGAGTATACTTCCACATAAATATGATCAATCAGGGCTTTGCTGTTCTTGAGAAGAAGATTTTTAAAGATTTTTCCTATATATCTCTATGTAAAACTTTTATCCTCCTTTGGGGCCCCACCCTACCCCCAGGGGTCATGATTTGGACATACTTAAATCTATACTACCTTAGGATGCTTCCATATCAATATGATCAATTAGGGCTTTGCTGTTATTAAGAAGAAGATTTTTAAAGATTTTTCCTATATATTTCTATGTAAAACTTTGATCCTCCATTGTGGCCCCGTCCTACCCCCGGGGGTCATGATTTGAACAAACTTGAATCTACACTACCTGAGGATGCTTCCATATAAATATGACCAATCATGGCTTTGCTGTTCTTGAGAAGAAGATTTTTAAAGGTTTTTCCCATATATTTCTATGTAAAACTTTGATCCTCCTTTGGGGCCCCACCCTACCCCCAGGGGTCATGATTTGAACAAACTTGAATTTACACTACCTGAGGATGATTCCATTTAAATATGACTCATCATGGCTTTGCTGTTCTTGAGAAGAAGATTTTTAAAGGTTTTTCCCATATATTTCTATGTAAAACTTTGATCCTCCATTGTGGCCCCGCCCTACCCCCGGGGGTCATGATTTGAACAAACTTGAATCTACACTACCTGAGGATGCTTCCATATAAATATGACTCATCATGGCTTTGCTGTTCTTGAGGAGAAGATCTTTAAAGGTTTTTCCCATATATTTCTATGTAAAACGTTGATCCTCCATTGTGGCCCCGCCCTACCCCCGGGGGTCATGATTTGAACAAACTTGAATCTACACTACCTGAGGATGCTTCCATATAAATATGACTCATCATGGCTTTGCTGTTCTTGAGAAGAAGATTTTTAAAGGTTTTTCCCATATATTTCTATGTAAAACTTTGATCCTCCTTTGGGGCCCTGCCCTACCCCCAGGGGTCATGATTTGAACAAACTTGAATCTACACTACCTGAGGATGCTTCCATATAAATATGACTCATCATGGCTTTGCTGTTCTTGAGGAGAAGATTTTTAAAGATTTTTCCCATATATTTCTATGTAAAACTTTGATCCTCCATTGTGGCCCCGCCCTACCCCCGGGGGTCATGATTTGAACAAATTTGAATCTACACTACCTGAGGATGCTTCCATATAAATATGACTCATCATGGCTTTGCTGTTCTTGAGAAGAAGATTTTTAAAGGTTTTTCCCCATATATTTCTATGTAAAACTTTGATCCTCCATTGTGGCCCCGCCCTACCCCCGGGGGTCATGATTTGAACAAACTTGAATCTACACTACCTGAGGATGCTTCCACATGAGTTTCATCTTCCCTGGCTTTGTGGTTCTTGAGAAGAAGATTTTTAAAAGATGCTATTAATTTTTCACTAATTCTTTATTATCTCCCCTTGAAAGAGGGCGTGGCCCTTCATTTGAACAAACTTGAATCCCCTTCACCCAAGGATACTTTGTGGCAAGTTTGGTTGAAATTGGCCCAGTGGTTCTTGAGAAGAAGTCGAAAATGTGAAAAGTTTACAGACAGACGGACGGACAGACGGACAGACGGACAGACGGACTACAGACAAAATGTGATCAGAAAAGCTCACTTGAGCCTTCGGCTCAGGTGAGCTAAAAAGTTGAAAGTTGAAAAAGTTACATCAGTATGTTTTAGCATATGAAGTTTGATGAAAATATTATGAATGGTTTCTTTAAAACTGAGCTAAACACTAATTTAAGAAAAGTGAGGTCAAGGTCAAAGGAAAGGTCAAGGTCAAAAAATATTGATGCAGTTGAATAGCTCTCATCAGTATGTATCAGCATATGAAGTTTGACACTAATTTAAGAAAAGTGGGGTCAAGGTCAAAGGAAAGGTCAAGGTCAAAAAATGTTGATGCAGTTGAAAAGGTTACATCAGTATGTATTAGCATATGAAGTTTGATGAAAATATTATGAATGGTTTCTTTAAAACTGAGCTAAACACTAATTTAAGAAAAGTGAGGTCAAAGTCAAAGGAAAGGTCAAGGTCAAAAAATATTGATGCAGTTGAATAGCTCTCATCAGTATGTATCAGCATACGAAGTTTGACACTAATTTAAGAAAAGTGAGGTCAAGGTCAAAGGAAAGGTCAAGGTCAAAAAATGTTGATGCAGTTGAAAAGGTTACATCAGTATGTATTAGCATATGAAGTTTGATGAAAATATTATGAATGGTTTCTTTAAAACTGAGCTAAAAACTTATTTAAGAAAAGTGAGGTCAAGGTCAAAGGAAAGGTCAAGGTAAAAAATATTGATGCAGTTGAATAGCTCTCATCAGTATGTATCAGCATATGAAGTTTGTTAAAAATATCTTGAATGGTGTCATTAAAACAGAGCTAAACATTAATTTAAGAAAAGTGAGGTCAAGGTCAAAATAAAGGTCAAGGTCAAAAAAATGTTGATGCAATTGAATAGCTTACATCAGTATGTATCAACATATGAAGTTTGATTACACTATCTTGAATGGTATCTTTAAAACTGAGCTAAACACTAATTTAAGAAAAGTGAGGTCAGGGTCAAAGGAAACGTCAAGGTCAAAAAATGTTGATGCAGTTGCATAGCCCTCATCAATATCTATCAGCATATGAAGTTTGATAAAAATATCTTGGATAGTTTCTTTGAAACTGAGCTTTGAACAGAGCTAAACGCAAAGTGTGACGGAAGGACAGACAGAAGGACGGAAGACGGACATGACAAACACTATATGCCCCGGCCATATTCATGGCGGGGCATAAAAATCCGAGATTCTCACAAACTAATTCCCTGGTTTTCTGTGAAAGTCTAATTAAATTTCATTCATTGATATAGGAGGAGTTGCAGATAAGAGATCGTACCCCCCCCCCCCCCTCCCCCCCATATTTTAGAAAGAATGGCAGTGTTTATGTTTTGCTCTGGGAAAGCTCAAATATCTGTCTGATTGAAAAATAAAATACTAGTAGGAGCTGCACAGTGGCACTGTGTAATAAGGATTCTTTGAAAGTCTGATTAAATCTTATTCAGTGGTACAGGAGGAGTTACGGATAAGAGATGATATCCCCCATGTTATAGAAAGAATGGCAGTGTCCATATTTTGCTATGGGTAACCCTATATATTTGTCCAATCAAAAAATAAAATAGGAGGTGCACAACTGCACTATGTAATAAAGATTCTGTGAAACTCCGATTAAATATTATTCAGTGGTATAGGAGGATTTGCATATAAGTGATGGGTACCCCAAAGTGTGTGGAAGGAGGGACACCCCCTTCACTATATACCCCTTACTTTTCAAGCAGGGCATACAAATATCAAATAAAATCCACCCATCCACCAGTTTTTAAAATAATTTGGATGAGAATCTAGTAATTTTTTTTATTATGGCCTTATCTACATATTTTTGTCAGTAAATGTAACTCAAGTATTGTGGCTATGGGCCTCTTGTTAGCAAACCTCGAACCATGACCAAAGGGCCTCTTTTTTTCAATCTTCATTATCGTGATGACACCTCTGTACTGACCTGCCGTAATACTTTCTTCCACGTATTGGTTTGGAGGAGTCCCCCATGGGCACTGATGGTAGAGAACAGAGTCTGTCCCGCTGACTTCCTGACTGCTGGCCTCTGGTCTACACACAACTCCCCTTGTTTCATATACAGGCTCATCCACAGAGCATCAAATGGGGGGATGTCGTCCTTACCCTTCTCAGACTGTGCTGCATTCAACTCACTCTCAATTCGTTGTCGATTTTGGTAGAAAAAGTCTGAGATGTTCCACTGTATACAAAGAAAAATCTCTTTGACAAACAATATACTAAAATGCCATTACAAAATTTGTGAACTGAATTTCTCTTTCAAAACTATAAACAAAAAGCTTATTCTTCGTTTCTTTTTTGTGTAAAAATAAGCTTTAAATTCATCCAGGTACTAATTTTTATTCAGTTTTTAGCTTTTTATCATTCTTTACGCTCCTTAAGGCCAAGATCTAGTAAATGAAAGGTGCCTACACACTTTTCAAATTTGAGGGGCGAGTCCTTTTAATGATCCTTTACAAACATAGCTTGGTAAAATAAGGTGTATCGGGACATAATTTTTAGGTAAACTCCACGAAAAAACAATTTGAAATCATTCAAAAGTAACCCTGATACCTATATTCAATTAAATATCATTTAAAAGTAGAGGTCAAGAAGATACGAAAAACCATTTTCTGAGAGACTGTGGGCAATATTGATACATTTCTTTTACCTGAGATGGAAAAAACTCCGAAATTCATACCTGAGTTTCTTCATTTTTCATTGAAAATGACAATTTAAAACATGTTTTTTCGTTGAGTTTACCTAAAAATTATGTCCAGATACACCTTATCTTACCAAGCTATATTTGAAAAGGATCACTAAAAGAACTCGCTTTTCAAATTTGAAAAATCTATAGGCACCTTTCATTACTAGATCTTGACCTTAACAAGTACCAATATATCCACACAAACAGGACATATCTCCTAATTTAGCGAGTTAAATATCAGACATAATATCAGCCTATGTAAACTCATTGAAGTCAATATAAGTATACCAGTAGTCCAATGGCAGTGAGGCTGATGTTGAGCTCGCGGTTCTGGAGTCCGAATTTGGCTGCCACCTCCACACAGTTCTTTAAATAGACGCAAGGAATGATGGGAAGAAAGTCTGTGACGACCAGTTGGAGGCTCTGGAAGGCCGTCTGAATCAACTTCTCTCTGTAAACAGAGTTTGAATCTTAGGAGTTCAGAAATCATCAAAAATATGTTAGATTCACAATATTAGATTCTCAACCAAACAATCAGATTTAGTGAAAATTCTACAATTTTTCTTATGAGGAACACAATCAAAATAGGGGGAAGGGGGTTCTGAATTAGTGTATATTTGCACAACATCTTTTTTTAAGAATTCAATTTATCTTTTGGTGTCAGTGTTTTATTTTCCAGCACACTTCAACAATTAATCCATGCACTGCAATCTTAAAGCTGGGTATACATAATGATCGGTTACTTTACTGGGAGCTGATATGAAGCTCTGTATAACAACAGCTATAAATCTTACCCCTGATCACTGTCCAGTGCTGCAATGACCCCCAGGATGAGGGGCCAGCCATGGACCAGTTTATCCCCATTGTTGTGTAGTATCTGTAGGACACACTCTAACTGTCTCTGTCTAATGTCTGGCTGAGGTATGGAGGATAATTCTTGCAGAGGGCCCAGAATCATTGACTGTAACTTCTACAAGTAGAAAAAAAATATGAAAAATTAAGGTTCAAGTGATACTCTTATCTATTTCATTTGATAAGTATTTTGAGTTAATTTGACATCCAAGGAAAAAGACCACAATGATCTCGTGTACAAAACCTGCTTTTCAGGATAACTCACAGAACGAAGACAAGAGTAAAGTGCTGCAGGACTTGGAGACATATTCAAAGAATCTCACAGTACAACAGCAAATCTGAATTTTTGGTGAGGGGGAGGGGGTTATAGAAATGGAATGGAGAGAAATAAATTTTTGACATGAAAAGGGTAGGTGAAGGGGATTAACAGAGACACAATACCAGCATGTTAAGGGAACGGAGGGAAAAGATTGATGTATTAAATTATGTTAGGGATAAATACTATATGTGCACTTATAAACTGACGTATTCAAAATTTAGAGAAATCACGGGTATGAAGTGATTCACTGGTGTAATTATGAATCGGTGCTACTAATGTACCACTAAAATAAATAAAATTTTGAAATAGTATATTAACTTTTTGAAAATTAGTTTACATAAAGAATTTAAGCAATCAGGTATAATTATCACTGTCAAATTATTTGACCACCTGGCCGTATTAAGCCTCACAGGTTAAGTAAAAGTCCACCATCATTTACAGATCAACAATATTACCACATTTTCATTTCTGATAACCTTTTTAAAACCAATCACGACTCATCATCACCCACCAAAATGCCTCTCAAGTAAGTTGTCAAAGGAAGTGTATATACAGTTCATAGGTATCATGTGGAGTGGGACATGACTTAGAATCCTATCTGTTTTCTACTATTGGTGAAATTCAGGAGATAATCAAGCCATGTAGAGTGTGTACACAAGCAGTGTTTCGAGTTTTGCAGTAAATTCCAGTTTCTTAAATTCATATAGCTATTAAAAACTTCAAACCATTTTTAATTTTAGTGAAATCATAAAATTCTTGCTTCAGAATTTTAACCTTAAAAAAAATATATGATTTTTAAAAATTTTTTGGTGGTTATAATTAAACTTAAAGTGACACCATGACGGAAAAATTGGGAAATTGACAAAACTAGAATTTTTGCATGACACGTATATATGCAAATTTTGTTCAGTTTTTGAAAATATCAGGTTTCAGAAAATTACAGGTTTCAGAACCTAAAAAAATCTACTTTTATGGAGAAAAATAAAAGTAAAAAAAATCTTTACGTTAAAAAAAAAAACTTTTGCAGTTCTTTTCTTGCTTTACAGTGCAGTTGAGTTTTCAAAACTTTGCTATATTCATATTTCACATAAATCTTTTGTTTTGTGATACAATTATCTTAAAAGAAACACATGATTTTGACTCATTATGTAACTTTAAGAAAAATCCAGTTTTTATTTAAATTTATTACAAAAGGTGGCCAAATGCTGCATTTTTAGTATTATTACACCTCATTATAATTATTCTATACAACGTGTTATCTGACTGGTTCTTGATTATCACGTGACAGGGCCATAAAACTTCATATTTCCCTGTCGTCGTCATGCTTTTCATCATATTCAACCTCTTCGGAGACCTACCGTAATACATTTTCCTGCAATAGTTATTGTTCGTTGAACGAAAACAACTGAGAGAAGTATACGTCACAATAGCCTGGTTTACGTCACAAAATTGCTGATGGACTTCTGTGTTTCAGTAAAACTATGTTTAAATTGAAAGTGAATTTAAGAGCGATGGCGAATTTGAAAGTTCATGTTTATTTTTAAAGTTTTTACTTGTTTCGGTATAATAAACAATTTATTGTATGAATGTTTGGGAAACATGATTTATTCAGCCAAGAAATATCATATTCCCCTCGGGCGAAGTCCTCGGGGAATATGATTTTTCTTGGCTGAATAAATCTTCATATTTTCCTCACTTGCATGAACTGATCATGCAACAATTGTATAACATTACATGTACAAACAGTTTATTCAGATTGAGCCACATAATTGAATTAAAAAAAAAAATTAAAATATTATATAAAATCACACACATGTATATGCGCCACACTTAAATTGGGCTCGATTCTGAATGCCTTCAAAAATGGCTGATCAGATAGGCACAAGAGTACAAATTGACAAAGATCATTTATTAATTGTAATCAAGAACTGGCGCATTGTTGCCTGTGTCAAAGCCGCAAAATATGAAGCCTGCTTATTAAAGTACACATACAGTAAATGAAACAGGTTCAATAGGTAATTATTGATTTTATTGTTCAACATTGAATCTCAGAATTTTCTACAAGGAAAAGCAAATTTTTGTAATTTGTATCAACTTTATACTCTAAAAATTAGCACAATTTTAGCAATTCAATCAATGTAAACAAATAAATAAAACCTACTGGTATGTTTGAAGAAAAAAACATCAATGCAGATTAATTGTGTCTGTCTGTGAAAATGCATGATCTTTCATGACTAATACATGGTATATGGCTCAAATTCAAAGTTTTACAGGTACAGAACATATCAATAACATGTATATATATCAGTATCTTGTAAATTTTTAATCAAATCACATGCCAATTTCCCTAAAATGACATAACTGACATCCAATTCTTGAAGGACATTACAAAGCAAAAAGCTACTGCATTGATTAGGAAAAGCCAAGAGGTATGGCATATTTTCTTTCTTTAGAATATATTTATTAAATTAAATTAAAGATATACTTTAAAAACTCCATTTTTAATAATGTTCTTTAACTTTTATTTATATTATGTATTCAAATACTGGGTACATGGAACATGAAAATTTCAGATTTTCTAAGTATGTATCAGATTTTAATATTTGTATATCTTTTAAGCATCTTTTGGAAACTATTTTATTAGTGATACTAGAAGCATATATTGACCTGCAAATGCCCACCCTATCTCATGAGCTGAACAATTTAGAATGTCAGGAAGCTTAATTCACTTAAATTTCATCTTTTCTGGTCCAGTGGTTCATGAGAAGATTTTTTGATGACCCCACACTTATCTTTGCCTTTTCTTGACTATTTCCCTTTGGAAGGGGCTTGGTCTTTTATTTGAATAATTTAGAATCCCCTTTATGCAAGGATGTTAATGTGTCAACTTTCATTAAAATTGGCCCAGATCTTCTTGAGAAGAGGTTGAAAATGTGAATGAAAAGTTTACAGACAGACAGGTGCCAGACAACCGGTGATCAGAAAAGTTACCTTGAGCTTTCAGCTCAGGTGAGCTGAAAAATTACATGTACATTATGCATGCATTTTCTTGTCATTTATTATTTTCATCACCTTCATCACCTGCATACACGGTTTATATCTCTCAGTTGATTGGATACGCAAGAGCATGCTCTATGTATGAACAATTTCTAAAACGAGGTTTATTATTGACAAACAAATTGATGAAACAAGAACATCAGCAATCTCGTTTAAAGTCGTCATTCGTAAGTTCTATGGTCGATACAATGACCTTGTCTGCAAATGCAATTTATCATTATGTCAAATGCTGACTGACATTTTTCATACTTATTGTTAGGCCATTCTTTACACACTGAATTGTCGACGGTTTTTTCCATTATTTCCCGATCATGAAAAGGAGCAGACGGCGGGTGTGACTGGTTGGCAGGGGATGCTCACTCCTCCATGGCACCTGATTCCACCTCTGATGATTTAGAGGTCCGTGTTTGCTCTGCTCCAAAATTTGTATTGTTTAATGGACTTTTAAGCTTGAAGACTTTTTGTTATCTCCATACATTTCATTTGATATTTTTGAGTTCTAAAACTGCAACATTACATGCAAAAAATATTTTTGTCTCTAATCCTAGGTATTTTTCTGATGGCCTAGACAGAGATTGGACATTTACTGTAGATTCTTTTTAATTAATTATAAAAATGTGCAAGCTTAGTACTTAGTTTAGAAATTGATACTAATATATATATATATATATATATATATATATATATATATATATATACACATATAGTATTTACATGTATTTCAGTGATAAAAAAAAAAAGAGTGAGGAATTTTATTTTGTAAGTGGTGCCTCTGCAAAATTATCAGAGCTCTTTATCCTAATCTGCATTTTTTGTCTGTAATTTGAGCTTTTCATTGGTAATTTATCGTTGGTTATACATTGTTTTAATTTTCTATTCGAAGGTACATTTGATACCTAGATGAGATTATTTAATGCTAAGTTAACATCCATTTTGTCAGCATGTATCATGCATAAACAGCATTCTGAATATCTATTTCAGTGTAATTAAGGTTAAAAGTATATTTCTATCACTGTTAAGTCAGTTAAAGGGTTTTTATCACGTCTCAAAATTTTTTGATATGACAAAGTTTACATGCTATTAAAATCATATATTTAAAAATCTTTGCTTGAAAACTAATATTTTTGATGTTTCAGCAATTCAAAGTTTGAATTTCTCAATATGCATATTTTGATCACCGATGTTACGCGCCATTGCTCTGACGTCATAGGTGTGAATCCTGGTCAAGCGAAGTACTTATTGTGTATATAAAAGGGCTCATTTGATGTGTCTATTAAACCTGTTAGAAAATAATTAAGTGATAATTGAATAACTGACAGCTTGTAAGGTATAATTTATGGCTTAATGTTGCACAAAAGTGCACAAGAAAGGTTTTAAAAAGAATTTTTCCCCACATTTCCTGGACTTGGTTGAGAGCCTGAAAGGGGGGCCTAAGTTCTCTGCAAATGCGATGGCATTTACATGGTATATCTCCATTCAGAACAATCGTTTTTGCCCGATCGATCACGATTTTTTTTCTGTCCTATAAAATATATTAAAGAAAGATACTTTTAAAAAAAAATTAGAAATGTCAATTAAACACGCATTTTTAAAAAGTTACACAGAATATAGTACTTAGGAATGTTGTGAACTTCTTAATGGCGTATGGCGCCATTGAAGAAGTGTCATTTCTAGTACATGATATTCACTGCTAGAACAGATAGAAGATATACATTATTTATAATTAATTAAAATAATAATGA